TGTTTTTTTTCCTCCACTTTTATAACTGGAGAATGGTGCTGCCTAAAAGCTGTCTGGGAATTCAGCCAAAGAAAGAAGAGGATTGCAGAAACTCTGGGGACTTGAAAGAAAAGTGGCTGGCATTAGCTTGGTCCTCACTTTAAACAAAAATTAAAACAATAGACAGACATGTACAGTAATCTCTCTTTTAAAGAAAGAATAGAATGCCTCTATAGTAATGTCAAGTGGAACAATTTGGGACTGGCCCAAGTTATGCAGCTGTTCCGTAGGAAAATGGCAAAAGCCTCCAGTCCAAAGCAGGCAAATAAGGCATGATTGTTCATAAACAGTCACTGGGGTCCTCACATTTAGAACAAGGAAAACAGCATTAGCATTCCGGAGGGCAGGTTACAAACATGAATCTCACTGGAACTTGAGCTGCGCCGTGATTTTACACTTTATACAAAAGACAGTGGTGTCGTTTTGTCTACGAACAATGCACCTAATGAATAGCTCATTATTCAAGATACTGTATGTTGGTCAAACATGCATTTTTAAGAAACAGTAAAGGTTTGGATATGGATTAAAGTTCAGGTCACCTGTAAGATGAAAACAAATTACATGTCTGTTACAGGATTCTGATTCCTGTTTGCTCATTAGAAGTGGACCAGATAAATAGGAAAGATAATAGAAATTAAGTGTCTGCGAAACAATTGAATGCTAAGCCAATAGTACTGCTTCTCAGTGATGCCAAAACAACAAAGTGGGAATCAGGTGCAATAGCTGCAAAGTAATGGAGCAGAACTTTGGCAGTGATTACTAGAGTAAACGATGCAATTTCAACCTGCCCCGTGGATACATGTGACATCCATACTTCATTTTTGCTCCCATTTTTGAATCTATCTTAAAATATCAACAGTCTCCCTATACATTTTTATTTATATCTTATTTTAAATTTTGTTTTTAAATGTTTTTAATCATACCTTTTTCTCTATATTCCCTTCTCTGAAATGAGTGGTTTTCCTATTAGTCATTCAGTTCCTTCCCTATCAACAATCTCCTTGATTAATCCACTTCAATTGCCGTCTGTTGCTTTTGCTCTAGTGAGACTATTTGCTTTATGATCAGGAAGATTTTCTTCTGGGAAAAATCCAGTGGTTTCTTTTTAGTCTTTCCTTGTTTTCTGTCCTATCTGCCTCATCTAGCACTGTTGGAGATATAATACAAATCACAGAGATCTATAAGCTCAACTGTCTTTAAAGAGGTGAATGTCTTGTCTATTGGAAATGATATTTTGAAAACTGAGAAGAGTAGATTTTGAGAAGATTATGAAGAACAAAAGAAAGCAATGTTCTAAACCAAGGAAGGAATCAAAGAAGTTGATTGCAACTTTGTTGCCAATGGTCTGGTAGCCTAGAGGGAAACAAAACAAATAAGGAATGCTGGAGATCGAGTGATAGCATGCAAGAATAAATGAATATATATGAAATTGTAAATAATAACAGCATATTCTTTTTAATGTTGGGATATATGAGCATAAATGCAAAATATGTTATATTTCTAGCTCTTAGGAAGCTATGAGTTAATATTCAATGATATTACATGAATAAGGCTTTTTACAATATGGTCATAAACTCATGTTACAAATGGTTAAAAAAGAATGTAGAGAAGCAAGCCTGATAGGGATGGCAGCTCTGACTCTATCTGGAGCCCGGCTCATTCTTCCCTTTAAACAACCAGAGCTGCATTTCCAGTGCTGAAAATTACCATGAGCTTCATCCTAGAATTTTCAAAGTACTCCTGGATAACCTCAGTTGTAATTGAGACTTAGCAATTAAAGTAACAGGAATTATTTGAAAATCTGGAAGCTTTTGACAGGACTGAAATGAAACTAAATCCTGGCACACCAATCTTAAATCTTAATAAGAAAAAAATGACATCTTGGGAATGGTGGCACATGTCTTTAATTTCAGCACTCCAGAGGCAGAGGCAGGTGGATGGATCTCAAGTCCAGAGCAGCCTAGTCTACATACAAAGTTCTAGGCCAGCTGGTGCTATGGGGAGATCTATAAATTCAAGCACCAAAACCCAATAGAAAATGAAAGAAAAAATGGCTCACATAGGGAAACTTTCTTACTATCCTTTTCTACTTGCAAGGTGCTATCATCTTCTGGGAAAGATTAGTCAGGATTCTCTGAAGGAGGAGACAGTTCCACTTCTTAAACTTTCTGAACCATTGTGTTCTTCAATATGACTAAGTGATTATTGTATTTGGAGTCCTCTTTGATGCAAAGATATATACACCTAAGCTTATTTCTATGTAACTGAATCCCAGAGACTCTAATGGAGTTCATTTATTCTACCATATGTAAAGGAGTGTTGAAATTTACATAAAGATACAACCTTAAAATATTCACAGTGGAGTTATTTCCATGAATAAAATGGTATTTCTACTACTGGAAAGGAGAGACGACATGAAAGAGCAGATCTGTCCGACACACAATTTCATTCCATTTGAGCAGGCATGCATCCTTTCAAAGTACTTCAGACATTCATTCTGTCCATTGTTCATTTAATTGTATGTTCTGCATTCATATTCTAAGTATATATACATACATTTTTAGGTATATGAAGCAGTAAACTAAAAAAAAAAAACTGCTTTTTCTGACCTGATTCTGATCACATGGCTTCCTAATTGCATATGCATATTCTGACCCTTAGTAACAAGTAAGAAAAAAAAGAGAGAAGAGGAAAACATCTGGTAGACAAATAAAAACAGAAAGTAGAAACACTTTATAAGAAGAGCTCAAATAGAAGTTCTGATAACAGAGCCAGACATGGTGGTGCACACCTATAATCCCAGAACTTGGGAGAGAAAAGCAGGAGGATCATCATGAATTCAAAGCTAGCATGGGACAGTCGACATGGTGAGTTTCAGGCCAGTTAGGGATACAGAGGGCCACTCTGTCTGAAAAAAAACAAAAATTAATACTTACACAAATCAGAGAAATTTAGGATTTAAACATGCTTGAAACTCTAAGAGATCCCTACACTTCTTTTCCACATTAAATTAATTATTTCTTAGCCAAAGGCTCTTGTTGAATTATAATGATGAAATGTACTTGACACATGTATCATTTTGTGACATGAATTATTTTCTACAAGCAGTCTAAGGTTTTCAGAAGATAAAACTATAAAACTGACATGAGCAGGCATATAGCAAAGCTACTATATATAGTAAAGTAATCTAAATTGTCATATATTTTAATAATAAAACAATAGATTAATCTATACATTGTTCCTTATGCCATTATATTTGTGGTTTGGTAAAATACTATAAGGGAAAACAATCTTCAAATAACAAAACTGATAAGGAATGTATTGGTTCACTTACTAGGGTTAACACCACCAACTACAAAAAAGTTGACATTAACATACCAGTTTTCTTTCCTATAATTAGATAAGAAAAATTCCTGTTTGGGTAAAATGATACATACATGTGCTGGATAGCTTTAGTGTCAACTTGACATACCTGGGTTGAGGGAGCCTCAATTGGAGAATTGCCTCTATTGGACTGGCCTGTGGCTGTGTCTGAGGGGCATCTTCTTGGTGAGTGATGTGGGACGGCCCAGCCCACTGTGGGGCCACCCTGGACAGGTGGGCCTGTGTTGCATAAGAAAGCAGGCTGAGCAGGGGCCAGGGAGCAAGCCAGTAAGCAGCGTTCCTCCATGGCCTGTGCTCCAGCTCTTGCTTCCAGGTTCCTGCCCTGAGTTCCTACCTTGGGCTCCCTGATGAACTGTGACCCAGGAGATGTAAGCCTAATAACCCCTTTCCTCCCCAAGCTGGTATTGGTCAGAGTATTTTGTCACAGCAATGAAGAACAAACTAAGGCAATACACTTGAATAATTTAAATATTACTGAAAGAAAAAAATGCCAATTTAACTTGATTTCCACAGAAGCTAGTCCATATATTCATAGAGAGATGGCAATTAAATCTTTTCTATAATATTTTAAACACAATGCAAACCAATATAAAGTTTCTTAAAAATGAAGAAAACTATATAAAACTAGATCTAAAGAACTATTTACAATGCTCTCTTTTTGTTGTTTTTGTTTTTCATAGTTGTTTTTGTTACTGGTGGTAGTGTTTTAAGACAGGGTTTCCTCATAGTCCCAGCTAGCTTAGAACTATGTAGACAAGGCTGGACAATATCATACAGAGATTCACTTTCCTCTTCCTCCCAAGTGCTGGGACGAAAGACCGGTGACACCATGCCTGCTTTGACAATGCTTCCTAACAGCATTAAATATTGCACATTTGAAAAACCCTTTGTGTAAATTTAATATTGAAACAGGCATCCTATGTGTTAGTTGTTTCTAAATAGGAATCCCCAAAAGTAAAATGTTAGAGCTAAGGTGCTACTAATATGCATATATTCTAGTAGAGAAGGCTCCTTACTGAGAACACTGTGCTTCAGAGTCCTGGTCACTTCCCAGCCCCCCATATTCACAAGTTAAGCCCCAGCAGGTGCTATTTTACTTCTGTGATTTTTATTGTTTTCGCTATGAAAATGATCCCTCGTGTAAAACTTGGGCATTTTTTGAGGACTCCTCAATAGTCTCAGTTTTTCAGGGAAGAATTAAGTTGATCCATCTGAATCTTTTTTCAGTTTAATGATATAAGTAGTACGTGATTAAGCATCTACTCCTTTTAATTGAAATCACTTAGATGTATTAAAATGAACAAACGAAGCTGAAAAAAACTAAAAGGAGAAAAATAATGATGAAAGGACACAGTTGAAAACCTTCCCTGACATTTTTTCTAGATGACAAAGCAAAACCCCAATCTTTCACAAATACATTTATATGCTTAATGAGGATATGAAATAGTATTTTTTTGATCTTCCAGAGATCATGGTGTCTGACAAGAAAAGTTAAAATAATGGATTTCCACAGTTACAGTCCACTCAAAGCAGGGTAGAAGAAAATATGGAACTTTGTTGTTCATTAAATCACTTACAGTGGTTTTCCTTTGGATTCACAAGTCAAAGTTAAAGACTGTCCTTCCTGTGGAAAAGGGGTTGATGGTATAATCTTAACTGACGGTGTATCTAGAAAAACAAAGAAGAGTAAAAGAGGTCATTAATCACATATATTTCTTATAATTTTATATAAATATATTGG